GCTCTTGGATTCGTTGAGCTCGCGCAGGATTTCGCCGGTGATGGTGTGGTGACCCTGGTGCTTGATGAGCTGCTTCACCTGCGCCTTTTGGTTGGGCGTCATGTCTTCCTTATACCTCTGCACAAACACGAGGAGGGCCTGGTGCCAGAGCACGGGCAGCATTCGCTCCTCCTTGATGAAGCCGACGAAGTGGTCCACCAGAGCGTCGATCACTCGGTACGGAAGCGAATACTTCTTATCGAGCAAGACGCGGATGAAGATACTGTTGGCGCCTGGTAGTGGTTTCAATTCAATGCGCAGTGTGAGCCAGGAGGAGCTGCGTCTCTGGAGCCGAGTGGTGGGGAGGAGATGGGGACGCACCAGAGTACTCCATCTGGGCAATCTTAAGAAGAGCAACGGCGGATTGGAGGGCGGGGATGGAGACCTTCACGATGATACTCGCCACGATGGTGGCCTCTCGGAGAGTGCAGTTTCGCGACTGGAGCCAGGCGTCACATCACACGCGGCCAAGAAGCAAAGTCAGCAAGGCCGAGCGACAGAGAGAAGCGAAACACACGCATGTCGATGAGACAGGGCCGTACCTCGCAGAGAGGGAGCACGATGCCCTTGTAGAAGGCGGCCGGCTTGAAGACTGACTTCTTGAGCGCCATGTACAAGTGCCAGTTGAGCTTCTTGTTCTGCTCCATGTCGTTTCTCACGTGGGGCAGCAGGATCAGGTTGTAAAATCGCTGGGCCATCTTGGCGTTGAGGTTGGACGCGAAGATCTTGGTGGCGGCCGCCACGGCGACCGGGCTCCAGTGGTCTGGCGAAGCGAGCAAGTCAGCCAGAAACACAACAATAGATACAGTCTCAAAGTGGGTGTGAGTGTTGTGTGTTGAGTGTGCCCATCAAATTATAACCGTCGGTGTGGAAAGAAGCCGACAGCTATCTTCGTGATGGAACCCTCCACACCATCACGTGGAAGAGGGTGCGGATTGCTGTGGGCGCCATTAAATTATACTTGGTCATGGACGTATCCCAAGTATAAATCGTGAGGGCCTTCTTCTTTTTCTTCCTTTCGTGGCTGCGTGTGTGGCCGTGGTGTGCAGAGGAGAGGGAGAGAACCTGGCTCGGTGAGGTAGAGGATCTCTTCCCAGTTGGTGAGTGTGGGCACCATCTTGAACGCCTTGGGCAGCTTGCCCGACTTGTATTTGGCGAGCAGCCTTCCCACACTGTAGCACAGCACGCAATCAGGGGTTGGCACAAGCAGGCAAGCAAGCCAAAACGGAGGAGACAATACCCGCGGTAGACCTCAACCACCTTCGGGTTGAGCCTCTGCAAAGGAGGTCCCTCCTGACCTGTAAGTAGGGACAACACGAATGAGCTAAGATGAGCCAAAAAAAAAGAAGAACGAACAAAGTGAGAGAAGAACGAACCCTCACGCGCCATCTCCATCTCCTTCTCCTTAATCTTCTCCATGATGATGTCGGCCAGGGTCCGTCGTGGCTGCTCGGGGGCAGACCACATGGCCAGCGCCTTCTCCTCCTCCGGGTCAGAACAACTTCCTCCTGATCGTAGTCTCCTTCATCCTCGTCAAAAATCCTCCTCGTCCGAGCTTTCATGTTCTTGTTGTCGTCCTGACTCTCGTCGATACTCGCTCCCGCCTCCTACATACGCAAATCGCGAATCAGTTTTGAGAGTACTGCGAGATTAGTGTTCGAGAGGC